TGAGGAGCCTCTGAGTGCCTCCAGTTGGGTCAAAGCTAGTGGGTCAACCAGCATTCTTGTCCTCCAATACAATTTCTGGCAAGTTCCTTAGTCCAGCCCTAGAGGTACTGCCTGCCCCTTTCATCTGCTATTTCTATGCTCTTCCTAGTTTCCTTAACTTTTATTGGTCACTTTGTCATTATTCCAATTCCCAATTATAGCTGACAATTCTTTATAATTTCCCTGTTTAAATTACTGTGATTTCTCTTTGTTATCAACATCACTAGAGGTTCCTAATATCAATAGGAATGGATAGTTATCAATATCACTAGAGGTTCCCAATCAGTTTTTTAAGTGATTTTTCTTTACAAAAAGTTTCTGATGGCTTTTTGTGCTGAGTTATTTGCAAATGTGGCACTAAGAGTAGCAGGTTTTCATGTCTTGCATTCTCATGAGATGCTTGTTACTCATATCAGGCTCTTCCCAAGCATTTCCACTTTAACTGGATTAAAGAAGGGACTGCCAGCAAGGCCCCATTGACTAGGAAGTTCTGACTGAGATATTTGGGCAGAAAGGCACCTGGAACTATCTTGGGCTTCCTCTTTCTAGTTCAGGTAAAGGCTTAACATCCTCTGTTCTACATACCTTGGCTTCACCTGACAGATTTCCAGTGAAAGTGTTTGTCTCTGTTGAATTTTTTTTGTGGGGGGACAAATTTTTGACCTAGAGATTTATATTTAGCTAAGTTACTCCTCACACATATAGGTAAGAAAATATTATAGTATAACATGCAATCATATATGTAAACTTCTGGAAAAAAGAAAGAAAACTTTGTAATCTAAGCCAGTACAAAAAAAAAAGAATGGAGAAAATAAGGAATACAAGGATTGGTAGTGAGCATTAGCATCATTTAAATACAGAGTTAAGTTTAAATGATTGTAGTATATAGATTCATTTGTTCCAGACAAGTTTACTGAATGCCTGTGATGTCAGTGCTTCCAAATCAATCATGAATTTAGTGAAGTTCCAGTAAAATACCAATAGAATTCCTTCAAGTTTAGTCTTAATGGTTCATGAGAGCAAATGTGAAAAAAAAGTTTACAATTTCTGAAAAACAATATTCATAAATGAGCAATTGTTCTACAAGTTACCAGAACTTATTACGATAATACAGTAATTAAGACAGCATGGTACCAGCACAAGAATAGACACATACATCAGTGGACCTGAGTGGAGAGCCTGGAAACAGTCCAGTTAAGTAGAAGAATAGTGTGAAAAGTATTGACTCTAACTAATGGTACGGGAAGAACTGTGATCCATCAAAGGGAGCTAGGGAGGATATAACGTGAAATAATGACTTCATAACATTTACAAAACTAAATTCCAGTTGATGAAAGGAATGATGCCTAAAAATCCTAGAAGAAAGCATTCTAGAAGAAAATATAAAACATCTTTTTTACAGAATTCTGGTGAAAAAAACATTCATAAGCAAGACCCAATTCAGAAGTAATAAAATAAAAGATAATACACACAGTTACAGTTGCTGTATGACAACATATTTATAGCAAAGTTAAAATAAAATAAAAAATGAGAGAACATTTACCACATAGATGAGAGAAATATATACATATATAGAATAGAAGTAGCCCATAAATCAATACAAAAAGACAATATAATAAAATCATGTGCAACATGTATTAAAAAGTAAATCACACACAAAGAAAAACAAATGGCTAATAAACGTATTGAGAAGATTTTCATAGTCACTGGGGAAATGCAAATTAAAACAAGATGTCGTTTTTCACCAATCAGTTGGCTAAAAACTGTAAAAGATTGATAGTAGCCAACGTTAGCAAGAGGGAAATGCAATTTTGGAGGTGAAGTTGGTATGACTATCAAAATATAAATTTTATAAAGCCTTCAACAATGTAATTCCACTGCTAGAAATCTAATTTGAAAATGTGCACAAGTGTACAAGATATTTATACCATGATGTTCGTTGCTGCATTAAACTTATTAGCCCAACTGCAAGACTACACTTAATTGCATAACAATGGAGAATAAGTAAGTTATGATGGTGTGCTGGCCCTTGGTTGACTTTTTCTTTAGATCCAGTCCTCCCCTTCTCCTTCCCTGCTGTGTTCTCCAGGGGCTGCCCCCTGCAGACTTCCTTTCCTAGGATCCTCCCTCACCTGGCTTTGGACTCCTTTAGGCCAAGGGGAAGTACTGCTGGGAGATTGGTTGTCAGGAAGTACTTTTTTCATCCCCTCTCTGCTCTTCCTTGACAGGCCCATCATGGTTCTAACTTTCCCTGGGTGACCACAGCCCCCAAGCTCTACTCACATAACCTCTTTTTCCATCTATAGTTTAAGTATGCTAGTGGCTTCCTATTGATATTAACCTTTAGATTGCCTCTTTATTCCCATTTGGCTTTTTACTTCTTTCATCATCTCTGTAATTAATTCTTTGCATTAAATTTCTCTACTTTAAATACTTTAAATAATTTTGTTTGCCTGCTTGGAATACACACACAGCAGTGCAGCCAGTAAAAAAAAAAAAAAATGCTGTATCACCATATACGGAGTGGAAGAATTTTCCTGATAAGTTGTTGACTTCAAGAAGGAAAGTTGCTATATCTTTATTTAATATGGTCAGTTTAAAAAAAATCAATATGTGTGTGTTTAAATGTTAAATGATGATAATAATAATGATGATAACAATTAACATTTGTAGGGAAAAACAGTTATGACAAAATACCCTCCAGGATAAGTTGTTAGTGAGAAGTTGAAGGGAGGTGTGTATGTATTTTTTGAGGGGAAGGTGTGCTCCTAGTTTTTACTTTATATACCTCTATGTTTGGATTTTTTTCTCCCATGATGCATACTATTCATAGTTTCAAAGAATTTTTAAAGCAGGTAATAAAATATTGTGTCTAATACGATCACTTTCATTAAATATGTATGTCCATATGTATTCATTTGTAATGGGAATCCCCTGAAAGTACAGTCAGTTGTGCAATATTTTGAAAGTACAAATTTGTTTCAACAGGATTAATATATTACGGAATAATTTGAGTGTGCCATCTATGTTTGTATGTGATTTTGTCAGGGATAAATTCCAGGTGAACGCTAAAGGTAGCACCCAACTAAACAGAAAGGCTTAGGAAGACACAAAATGCACGCATCTGCACGCACCTTAAACATCTACCAGTGTCCCCAGTCTACCTATGTGTTATGAACTATGGTATCCTGACCTCTGGTTTTACAACTTTCTGTATGATTTCAGATAAGCCTCCTCCCATACTCCACAGTAACTCACAATCTGCAACTCTTCCAAGGCCAGCTTCCACGAACAAAGGTCAGGTCAGGTCTTTTTCAAGATGAAATACCATACTTATTGTAGTATTTATGCATTTCTTCACCGTATAACATGTGTCAACTACAAATTGGCACTTGCCATCTTCCTCTACAAGGATTAAATCACGAGCCGCTGTAGCTGCTGACCTTCAACACCCCCCGAAAGGAGCTCAGGGTGGAGCGCAGAAAGGAGGCGCTCTGTGCTCTGGGAAGGACTGGCAGAACAGGTCTTCAGATAGTTAGGTATTTTCAGGAGTTGATTTTATGAGCCCAATTCTTGTATCTCCTCATATCTAGAAAAGCACTAAAATCCTGTATGGCGACTTCTGTTCCTCGTGACTAGCAGTAACCATCACGAGACTAGCAGAAACCTTCTACAAAAAATATGTGCTTGATTGCATGTACACCCCTTCACTGAAATCACGTATATACTGACCTTCCCCGTTACCTCTTTGGAGCAGTTTTTCAGAGCTATCTGAAGTGCTGTCTCCCGGGCTCCAGTCCTCATTTTGCCCCAGATAAAACTTAACTTGCAACTCTCACGTTGTGCATTTTTTTCTAAGTCGACACATGCATGTGTAAAAGTGTGCTGCCATTTTTATTAGGTTCCTATTTTTTTCTCCTTGTGGACCATTAAGACATTTTTGAGCATTGCACTCTAATCCCATTTTTCTCATTAGCCCCATGGTTTTTATTGCACAAACTTGCATAGTGCAGTGATTTTTAGCAACAAGTATGTCATATGACAGTGGAACTGATGATACATATATCAAAATGTTAGTAGTGTCTCTGGGTAGTAACTTATTTGTTGCTTATCTATAGTATCTACTTATTTCTCCTAAAACAATCATGTATTAATAATCTAATTAAATCTACATAAACATTTTTAAAAGATGAGGTGGTAGCCAAAGCATGACCACAGCTTTCTAGGTGGAGGGCTAATCAGGAAAGCTCCGCTTACTCACTGGTGATGCAATCAATTAAGGGCCTTCTAGTCTACCTAAGAGGCACAGTCAATGTATACTCCTCCTGGAAAACAGAAAAGGTCTCTCAGCAGCATCTTAACAGCTTCTTCAGAGTCCCCATTAGTGCTAAGAAGAATACAGATGTGAATAGTTGAGATCCATTAAACAATGCAAATCATGCAAGAAGCTACATGCCCCTAAATTGGTTTTCAAACATTCAGACATTAACATGATACACATCCAGAAATATATAGGCAATCACCAGTAAGATATATTCAGTGCTTATTGACTTTTGAGCTTAGTCTTATTGAGATTAGAACACCTTGGCTTTTCAGGAAATGTGACTCTTGGCAGAGACTACAAACCTGAACACAATGTGAATTTCAAAAGGGAGAGAAAAAAATGTATTTTCCTCATGTGATTCGAGCTTTGAATTTCCACCCACTTTTTCAGAGCGAACTTTCACCTGCTATCACTTTTTTTCCTTCTCCTTTCCAAGGAGGTATCATGTGGTTTTGTTTGTTTGTTTTTTTCTTTTTTAATGATAAATTATTCCACCTGCTGCCAGACTCCACTGTTTATCCTTGATTTGGGCAGCAGCCCTTCCTCGCCTCCCCCTCTCCAAGTGCACTGTTTCTGGGACAGCGCCCCTGAACTCTGAACTTGTTCCTGATTGATCCTTGTATTTTCCTGTCTCTCCACACAGAATCTGCTGTTGGCTGTGCTCTGTGGCACTTTGTTTTTAGCTGTTCTCTGACAAAGGGCTTGATCTGTGCAGCACATCTCGTCCTCTTTGTTCAGCCTCTGGCTTCAACCACAGAATCACAAATACTCTCCAGCTGGGAGTCAGACGAGGGCAGAGATGAAGAACCCAGAAGCCCAACAGGATGTTTCGGTTTCCCAGGGAATTCGCATGATGTTTTACGCGATGAAACCCAATGAAACGTCATTTGAAACCCTGGAAGAGGTGCCTGATTATGTACAAAAGGTGAGACTCTTAGGTTGCTTCTGTGTCCTGGCTATCGTAAACAGAGCTTCACTGAACATTGTGGTACATGACTCTGTTTGAATTATGGTTTTCTCAGGGAGGTGGATGGACCTGTAGTCTGTCATACAGAGTGAAGTAAGTCAGAGAGAAAAACAAATACTGTATGCTAACACATATATATGGAATCTGAAAAAAAAGAAAGGTTCTGAAGAACCTAGGGGCAGGACAAGAATAAAGATGCAGATGTAGAGAATGGACTTGAGGACACGGGGAGGGGGAAGGGTAAGCTGGGACGAAGTGAGAGAGTGGCATGGACATATATACACTAGCAAATGTAAAACAGATAGCTAGTGGGAAGCAGCCGCATAGCACAAGGAGATCAGCTCGGTGCTTTGTGACCACCTAGAGGGGTGGGATAGGGAGGGTGGAAGGGAGATGCAGAGGGAGGGCATGTGGGGATATATGTATATGTACAGCTGATTCACTTTGTTATACAGCAGAAACTAACACAGCATTGTAAAGCAATTACACTCCAATAAAGATGTTAAAAAAACAAAAACTAAAACGGGTGAGACTCTCCGGGAAGAGGCTACTCTTGCTTTTCTCTTAATAAGAAGTAAGTTAAACACATTGTAGGGTTTCGTTCATGTTCATTCTTCAAATAATTCTAATAAAAAATAATAGTTTCAAAGAAGCATGGGGCAAAAGTAGAATTTCCACTCGAATTGAATCTCCATGCAGTATGCATGACCATCTTCTCCTATTAAACTTGTCTTCCCTGATATGTTACTCCAGACTATGATAAAACTTTAAAAATGTTTTCCGGGACACAGTGGCCTTACAAATTTAGCTGTTAGAAGCTCAGTAGCTAGTGGTTATGTGACATCACTAAACTTTGTAACAATTGTGTTTCTAAAGGGAAAATTTGTCTACCACCTCCCAGGAACAATTTGCTCTTTATTTTAGCAGCATAGTTCTGCAAAATGAATACACAGCAGACTGAGTTCAACCCTGACTTCCCAAGTCTCAGCTTAAACCAAGTTTTCTTTGAAACTCAGGTGTTCAGAGGCATGTTGCACTTCCAGTTCCTGCCTATGATTGGAAGTGGAAATATCCAGAATTAGAACTTGAATGTTTAAGTTCCCCACCCTGTCAAAGTTGTTCTTACAACACTTACTAGTTGAGATCAGAAATAGAAAAGAAAATGACATCAGAGAATATGTTCTTGGGAGTTCAGTTTAGAAAACTTCAGTACTCACGATCAGCTTCCAAATGAGTGAAACCTATAACTTTTTCAGGATTTGATATCACTCCTTCTTTCTGATTTTTTAAAGAAAAAAATGTGGTACTTGCATCTTCATAAATCATTTTTTTAATATTATGATACCAAACCTAGTCCAATATTTGTCATCAGTTGTGGATTACAAGAATTTTTTTCTGTGATATAAAAAAAATACTGTATGAATAAAACTTGATGCCTAAAACAAGCATTTAAAATGACCTCATTCTCTGAAATACTCAGAAGCAAATATTTTGTTCTTAGAGTTTCAATTTTGTGATTCCTGTAATTCTAATATGAAAAACTAGAATCATGTGCACCCTTAAGGAAAGCCTTTTAAAGTGGGCCTTAGGCATGTAGATAATAGACTTCTGATTATTGCACTTCTTTTCAAATGTATGTTTTTAGATCTAACTTGAAACACATCCTGCCTAATCTTTTTATTTTCTTGGCAGAATTATCGTTGTTACATCTATAGTTATATTTCATGTCCAAACTGGATGATAGAATTTGAGCATCTGTTTAGTGCGTGTCTGAAATAATCAGATTTCTTTGCCTGTTGGGAGGAAGTGATCCTCTAGATAGGTATATACCTTTTCTGCTATGAACTGTCACTCTGGGCCTCCCACTTTGGGAATGACTAATCAGGAAACTTGGAAGAATTTCATACCGAGCACAATAGCATCTCTTTTCTGCAATTTCCTTTCCAGGCAACTCCGTTTTTCATTTCCATGATGCTGCTTGAACTGGTTGTCAGCTGGATTCACAAAGGGAAGCCATCAGGTCCTTTGGATGATGCCTTAACATCCATATCAGCCGGTGTTTTGTCTCGGCTTCCGAGGTGAGTTAGCTGGTTAGCAACACTGAGTGAATAAACTGAAATTCTCCAAGTAAGATTGAAAAGAAACCCATTGTATGGGGAATTGGTCTATTTTCACATACATCCCCAAAGAACTCAGTTACTGTCCTTATTTAACTTTTTGATGTTTTGTTCATCATGGATTTTTTACATTTGTCATTAAAAATATTGCTCTAAGTATTATTTATCTTAATTACTGAATTTATTGGTGCCTTCTTAAATTTTGTGCCCAAGACAAGTGCTTTACTTGTATTACGCTAGTCCCAGGCCTGAGTGATGTTCTAGTTATCTACTGGAAAATTAATTCGGCCTCAGGTAAATTCACATGCTGTAGCAATCTGGGGTGCAGACACTCCCTACTCAAAGTCATACAAAGCTCTGGATTACTACAGTGGTCTCTTAAGTGGTATCATTGTCCCTAGTCCTACTTCATCTACAGCCAAACATTTCCATAATGTGAATCTGGTGGAAACTCTTCATAGGTTCCTTATAGCCTGAGGAATATTTCTTGCCTGATCTATGGAGGCCTTTGTTTATCCAGCTTTGCTTCTGGTCCCTTCTTTCTTCTTCCCCCTTTGCAGTAGTTGTTCCCTCCATACTCTGCTACTTGCCATTACCCAGATGTCTCACGTGGTCATCTGAGGCCAACTCCCATTCATTTCTTAAGTCTAAGCATAGACTTCTCTTAAAGAGTCATACTCTTCAGCAAATCTTGCCTCTTTTCCAGCCCTATTTTAGGCACCACTTTACTATGGGCTCTGTTTGCTGTGGAGTATTGTGCTTACCCCATAATAGAATTGTCACATGATATTAAACTCACCTGTTTGCCTCCCAGCCCTTCCTGCAGGCTTGCATGCAACTTGAGAAACAGAGGTGCTCTTTTACTTTTAACTCCTATGCCTGGAATGATGTCTGATACATGGTCGATTTTTTTAAATAAAAACACCTAACATTCCTATAGTGTTATGTTGATGGTGAAGTCTGAGGATGAAGGGACCAAAAAACAGTAAACAATGAATGACCTACTACTGTTTAGAAAGTAAATTGTAATGTGTTTAGAGGAGATACCAATGAATGGAAGGCTCTTCAGTATATGAGAGTTTTCCAAAGAGCAGAGGGTGAGGGAAGATTCCCTTAGAAATCTGTGCTTTGCGTTGCTGAAGAATGTTCTCATTCCTGCTTCCCACCCATTGCTTCTTTTACTGTTTTAAGAGCTTTACTTCTAACCAGTGCTCATTGCTTTGGAATGTTTGTACGAACCGCCCAGTGAGAAACCAAGGTGGATTTTTTAAAAATAAAATGAAAACTTAATGATATCTGAGGAAAGGTAAAATATCATATGGTTGCACATTCCTGTCAGAATCAGAGAATAATATCTCAAATTATTCTCAGTTAATTTCCAGAATACTCTAATTAAAGAGTTTACAACTACCCATAATTTCCTCTATTTCATGTCTCCCTTGAACAGAACTGAACAAGAAATACATTCAGCATACTCAAGGGACATGTATATTTGGTTATTGAAAAATACCCAGTTGGTTACAATAATTCGCTCTGAGAAAGTTAAGTGTATAGGTTTATGGAAATTGGACGGTTGATGAACTGTCAAAATAACTTGATAACTGAGAAGTGCCCTGCAGGTACAATTATGGATCACATATTTTGTTGAGCTGGAATGAATTTATTAAGAACTCAGGGAGACATCAAGTTGAATGAATGCTTCAGCATTTCTTTTACTTTTTTAAGTTTGACTTTGGTCACAAGTGAGATTAGATTCTTCTCTTATAATATTGTAACAACTAGAAATATAAACTGTATCCTCAGTACTCTATTTCTGTTCAACACTGTGATTAAAAGAAAAAAAAGGTACAGAGTTCTAACAGGAGACCCAATGAGTAAATAGATATTTCTGCTAAAAAAGAAACCCCCAAATATAAGGAAAATGGCGGGGGGGGGGAGAGAGAGAGAGAGAGAGAGAGAGAGAGAGAGAGAGAGAGAGAAACCAAAACAAACCAGTCCTTCAGGGATAAGCCTGCAGTTCTTTTTCTTCACATCCCACTACTCATAACACTCCTTAAGCTAACACAAGCTGTGAACTCTGGTGCCCTTTGAAAGAAAGGGAAAAGGTTGTGAACTTGAATTTGGAGCATATTTTTCTATAGTTGTATTTTGAATGAGAACAGCATCTTGCTTCTTTTTTGTTCACAATCCTAAATTATGAAATGTGGATAACTTTGTACGTTTTATAAAGAATTTTATCTTTCATAGTCTTATGTGAAAGATCTCAGCAAAGCTAATTATTTGAAAATAAAAATTTAAAATATTTTCGTTTACTTTGTTGCTATTAAAAAAAAATCATAGAAATAAGCAGAGAAGGAAAGCTGATCCTCAGGATGCACTCCCCTCAATCCCCTTTCAGCACAAGACGAGAAGGGGGATTTGACAGAAACTCTTAGAACAATATTTCAGTTGAAGCCACAGCATCAAGGGGAATCCTCCTGCAAATCGTTAACAGCTGAAGGTTAGATTAACACGGCATTGATCATACCCTCTCCGAGGGACTAATTTCACTTTCTATACCAACAACAGGGGCTTGCCACGTCCTTAAAATACATGATTGCAAGAAAAATGGTAGTATACCATTTGTTAATCCCTTTGTGAGGAATTATACTTTGGATAATAATTTGAAATAGGCATGTGGCCTCTGAAAAAAGAAGTTGGGGAAATGAAAGTGCAACCATGAACATGTTTTTCCACTTTGCCATTCATGTAATGGAAATGCTGTGTGCAGACTTTGAGGAAAAACAATGTTTATTTGAGGATCTCAATTTCGTTATTACATAAAAGTCAAAGTACCTTGAAGATTGGTAGCATACTTACCATATTGATGGAAAAGATATATATGTATCTTTTCAAATCTTTATGTAAGGGAAAATATTCATCATAGACAAGATTGTACCTTGTTTACAAGCCTGTCGGACAGACCATGATATGTAATAAAAGTCCATCTGTCCTAAGAACCAGATTCTGGGCAGGCCTGCATCTGTTTTGCTCTTCTGGAATCCAGTAGGCAGACTTCCTAGTCAGAATCTAGTCCTGAAATTATAGACAGATACGTGTATTTATTGTAGTTAAATGCATTGTATCATATGCAGATAATCTGCCTTTCTGTCAGTTACTTGCATTTGTCACTATAAAAAATTAAACTAAACAAAATATTGACTAAATCAATTTTTAAAAATCTATCTGAAACTTCTGAAATATTCTGCTACTGACTGAAATGCTAATGAGTGAAAAATAATTACGTGGTTTTTTTTCTTGCTTGTTGAAGCAGAGCTCAGTTTCCAATCCTTCATTAGAAAATCGGGACTTCAATTTGTTACTTCCTTCCAATATTTCTGCTTTCATAAATTGCATCCTCCCCAGAGAAATTTTATTCCTGATGTAAATATCTACAGTATGTTTGTTTTTAATGGGTTCATTTATTCTGTTGAAACAGCAGATTATAAATCAAATTGCAATAGGTTGGAGGGATAATTTAAGTAGGTAAATTTTCAAATGAGTTGGGGACACTCTACTTTTAATACACATGGGTCCCTGCCAATTTTTACTGTGGAGCTAGGTCTGCAATGTTGGACCAAAGGTATCTACAGTTTTACTGGCCATGGCTGCCATGGAATTTTCCACTCCTGACAAGAAAGTTTCAATTCATAAAAAAAAATAAAAAATTTAAAGAGGAGGAAATTAAACTTCTTTGAGATACTTTTGACTCCTTGGGGTGGGACTAGAGAATAAAGGAAAATTGTGTACTGCATTTTTACACTAGACTTTAGTAGCAGAGGCAATACTGTTTTTGGCAACGTGGACTTCTGACAAACAAGTACCTGTCATTTGGGATGATGACTTTAGTCAACAGTTATTCATTATCCTAAGTAAGAGATAAATTTATTTATGTAATGTTAATAATGGTATTTTATTATGAATATTAACATATTTTTATTAACTTAGAAAATTATGAAATGAACACCCCATGCGAACAAAATATATCTAAAAAATCTGCTGGTTTGTTATTTTTGCTAGAGAGAATGCCCCCTTAACTTTTACATGTCCCCTTAACTTTTACCTTAGAAACCTTATAAATAGACTTTGTTATTAATGGTGTGACTTCAGAGGTAGCTCTTAGACTATCCTTCCCAAATGATGAATGCAAGCTTCCTTGCACTTATTAGTCTGGCTTTGCGTGCTTATTCAGTAGAGTAATTGAATTACTTGAAGTAATTTACTTCTTGCAAAGTAAAAAATGTAGCACATTTACTTCTTCCAAATCTACCACATTGTGTTTACAGAAGTCTATGGTTTTGCGGTTGTTTTAAAAAGAAATTAAATTAAGTGATTGTTTCATAAATGTCATTTCACAGTAGGAAATGGCAGTACAAATGTCTGCCTGCAGAAGGTAGAGCTTGTGTTATGTATTTTGTTATTACTGAGCAAAAATCAATATTCCACTAGATGGAGCAAAAGTGGCAGTAGCTTTACAGATAGAGAGTGCAAGTTCCTGGGCCAGGTATAAGAGATTTAGAAATAAACAACGCAATTTCTCAGAAAAATCAATATATATATAGTTATATATATAACATATAGTTATATATATATTAATTTATTTATAACTTCGTGAAACTTGTAAGGGTATTTCAAATGATCTCATTTAAATATTGGTTTATTTTCTAATTTATGACAAGATTTTTAGAAATAAAAAGTCTAATTTTTTTTTTCAATTTTGCATAATCTGGCCAAATTTCTCTAATGACATTTATAAAATAGTACAAGTTGTCAGATATCTGTGAACACTGAGTACGTAATTCAACTTACTCTGAAAGTTGCTTTGAAATTTTAACAGTTTGCAGTGAGAGCCTTACATCAAATTTCATTTGCTTGATTAATGATTAGAGCATGAGAGTATTTTGAGAGCTAGATAATTTTAAGGTCCATTCAGCCTAATGCTCTCATGTCAAATTAGCTGGGAGATAGTGAGATGGTGAACGACCTGTCCAGTGTTACCTTTCTCTACTTTCGATGATGGGAACATTCACACTCAGATGACTTTAATAACAAGTTAGCTTTGTAATTCTCAATCCTCAAATAATACTTATTCTCATTTATTGATTATTGAAAAATTTCAACATTATAAAGTAACTTTATATTTTTAAAAATCCACCATCAGTACTGGAATACTATTTTGGTATCTTACCAGATTTTACAGTCAGTAAACATTGACAGGAGAGATTTTATTTTATATTTTTTATTTTTTACGGTATGCGGGCCTCTCACTGTTGTGCCCTCTCCCGTTGCGGAGCACAGGCTCTGGATGCGCAGGCTCAGCGGCCATGGCTCATGGGCCCAGGCGCTGCGCGGCATGTGGGATCTTCCCAGACTGGGGCATGAACCCGTGTCCCCTGCATTGGCAGGCGGACTCTCAACCACTGCTCCACCAGGGAAGCCCGACAGATTTTATTTTTATTGAAGTGTAGTTGATTTACAGTGTTGTGTTAATTACTGCTATACAGCAAAATGATTCAGTTATACATACACACACACACACACATATATATACATTCTTTTTAAAAATATTCTTTTCCTTTATCATAGGATATTGAATATAGTTCTCTGTGCTATGCAGTAGGACATTGTTGTTTGTCCATTCTATATATAAAAGCTCACATCTGCTAACCCTAATCTCCCACTCCATCCCTCCCCCAACTTCCTCCCCCTTGGCAACCACCAGTCTGACAGGACAAATTTCTAGTGTGGACAGAAAAGCTTACATAAAACACATGAAAAATTAACTGTCTTTCATTTGCCAGAAGATATACTTCAGACCCAAGAGAAATAGCTATTTGGGGGGAATTTATAAAGAATATAGGACAAAATGGGAGGGGAGTCTCTACACATACAGGTTGTTAATTAGAGGAGTCTAATGCCTCCTTATATTTAGATTATTTTCTCAGTCTTGCATTCAAACTTAATGAATAAAACGGATCTAGCATTTGGTTATTCAAAGCCCCTGTGCTACCTAATTTCCATCTCCACATGATAAAGTAAGCTCACTATATATGCATATTACATATGTCTCTTTCTACAGGATAGGGGTTAGAGTTGTCATTTGAATTCCAGAGTGCAGAGTCATATGCTGGGATTGGGGGCTGGGAGAGAATGAAGGAATTGGGAAGAGAAAGAGGAAGAGGGTTAGTTTTATGATTCAAGGTCTGGTGGGAACATTTTTGAAAATATAGGTGCTATTTCCTGCAATCAGGGGCTTTCCAGAGCTTGATAATCATTTCCCAGGTGTATCTCTTGCCAAATTGTTTTTAGTTGTGGGCACTCCATGGCTGTTTTTTCCCATTTATGATGGAAGAGGATCATATTCATCTTGCTGATAGAGAACCGGGAATTTAATTCCCACAGCTTCTCCACTCTTTCCCTTCACCTTGAGGAAAGTTTGGCTTTGTGCTAAGGTGTGAAAAAAAAAAAAAAAGAAACAGCCTTGCCTGTAGTATATAAGGCATATTTCAGCTCGATTTGTGTCAACCCTAATAAGTAAGTTGACAGAATAATAAATTGGGTGTCTGCTCAAGACCTGGCACCTGTACAGGAAATAAAGTATTTCAATTACAGGCAGGTTCTTTTTGTTTTACACATGGAAGTTTTCCAGGGACCCTCTTTCTATTATTGAAGTTTTGTTATCTGAAAGCCTATTTCAATTGTCACTAGAAAACTGACAAAGACAGCAACTTTAAAAAGAGATACTGAATTGGTGGGACATTGATGAGGCAGGTGGCTGTATTTGCCCTCTTCACCAATGTGTCCTCCCTTTCTTGTGCTGTGCCTGGAACCTAGCAGGCACTTAATATGAATTTTTTGAATGAATGAATCCATGAATTGACCTGCTTTGACACCATGTAGTAAAGCGGGTATAAAAAAAAACTAGATTATTTCAACTTTCTATTGCATTTTCCTAAGTTTTAATTTTTTTTTTCTAGATCAGTCTTTTTTAGGGTTATCAACTGGGGCAGTTTTGCCCCTGGGAGACATTTGGACATTTTGTTGTCACACCTGGGTGGAGGGCTGTGCTACTGGCATCTAGTGGGCAGAGGCCAGGGATGCTGCTAAATGTCCTACAATGCACAGGAAAGGCCCCCACAGCAAAGAATCATCTGGCCCAAATAGCAGCAGTGTCAAACTTTAGAATTTCTGTTTTAGAAAAATTAAGTAATAATAAGTTATAATCATATAAGATTGATATTATTCACCATTTTTTTTCCTAAAACTTGAATTTTATGTGGTTAATCCTCTACTAATGAGTACTAAGGAGCAATTATAAGGTTTCATAATTTGCGTAATAGTTTTTACAGGACAGACCCCTACTACAAAGAATTATCTTGTCCAAATGTCAGTAATGACACTGTTCAGAAGCCTTAGTCTAGATGTATAAGAATTACCAACCAAGCTAACATGCTTTAAAATAAAATTTGTTCTATTCCCCCTACCCTGATAAATAACCTGGATGACAAATTGGAAGACACATTTCAAATTTCAAGTTCTTGGATTCCTCAGAGTTCCAGAACAGGGTGAAAGCCCCTGGCCCATGGCCTGTGCTGTCTCATGTGTGTGCACACCCCAGACTGCTCGTCCCAGCTCTGTCTGCATGTCCAAAGAAGCCACTTTTGTCTACCTTGTCATGTTGAGGACTTTACACGCATGCATAGGTGGACCCTCTGGAGGCCTGGACCAGGAAAGAGGCCCATGCAGTCCTGAAAGCAGGCTCAGGGCCACTTGACAGGGGATTCTGGAAGTATCCAGGGCATTGCCTGAGTTGTGACAGGGGTGCTGGGTAGGTAGTCTCCTTGGATCAGGGACTCACAATTAAGGACAAAATTGCTCTTTCCAGCCATATAATTGTTGAAGGAGGTCATGGAGAGGATGCGACCCTGGTTGACCTATAAGCTGAACTTTACTTCCCCTTCCCCTTTCCCTTACTCTCTCCCCTGTCCATGGAATGTAAGTTCCACCTACAGTCCCATGCTAACAGCTGTTTCAAGGATGCAGTCTTGAGAGAGTAAGGTGTTGTTGAGACCATCTGGACTGAATAAGTGACTTGAACCCAGTTAAGACCTTTCTAGAAAATTTTAACATTCTGGAGTGAGAGTATGGACATTTACATGTCTTGCAGCCACCGAAGACAAACCTCCTCTCTAAGTTCCTTGTTTGTTAAAACTGCCACTTCCCAGTCTGGAGTGTTCTGTCTCTTTCTTTAGTTTCTTCTTACCCTCTGTGTACGGGGACCAATTTACAAACCTAGAGTAATCTTAAATTGAAAACTGAGTTTTAAGATCTGATGATGTGTAATCCTTTTTCAAAGTGTAGGTATTTGGCATTTCTATTAGTTACTTATATTAATGCTGTTGTGAAGAAGCCTAGTGTTTTATGTTACTGATTAAATAATAACTTGAAGGATTCAAAATGTGAGACAATTTTAAAGTTATTAAATCACAGTTAAAGTCATATCATAACTAACGTCAACATTGGATTAAAAGTAAACATCCGGGTCTCCAACAAAACCAGTAACATGCTAATTCATAGACGCTGACTATGTAAAGGGAAATACTAGTAAAATAATGAATTTTAACAATAAACTAATGAGCTGCTTCTTTGACTTTTATTTAAAGTTAGAATATTTCAGAACTTTCTCACTTGTTCATGGTTTATAAATAAATATTAAGTAGAATAATTCATTTTACATATGAGTGAAAAATATTAATGAAAAAGTCAGTTCAATCATATCTATAAAAGTGATAAAAGGAATGATTATCTTGAGTCTGATCCTAAATTTGATCTCAGGAGATTTAAAAGGAAAAATACTACTCTTTATAAAATTGAAGTATATTATGTATATTTTTGAAATTTCTTGACAGAAGAATTTATAGAAGCTTGGTAGAATATGTGGTAAGAGATATGCTGTCTGGGTTTTAAAAACAATTGTTTATTTCTAGGGAAAAGTTATTCCCTTATATTTTGAGATCCATAGTTTATATTACTGTAAGAAATACTGATATGCTATGAGAATCCAATTTGTAGTCTTAAGAATAATATCTAGAAAACATAGAGTGTGTTTGTGTGTGTGTGAAAGAGAGGAGGGACTAGACAGGAAGAGAGAGAATAGAGTCAGTCAGAAGCAACTTTAAATCTAAAGGCAAACTTTATGGGATTAATATATTTTAAGGCAGTAGTCATTTTGCAGTCCCTTTAAAAAATATGCTATTTATAATTTTCTACTTTTTACATTTCCTTTAAAAAGCACCCTTCTTGTGTTCTTTACTAAGATTTAGAAATGACAGTCACAGAAAATAAGTCATAGTTTTGTCATTTTTATGTTATATGGTTTCCATGAAAAGTATTTTTAAGAGACATATAAAGGGAACTTCCTAAATTCCATGAAATAGGGGAATAGTTGACATCCATGATGCCTATGAAACAAAAGGAAACATCATGTGAATCATTTTGATACCAAGGAAATTGAGCCTCTTCAAAGGTATGATAGAGCAGTAAGAAGCCAAGAGAAAGGGGGAAAGGATTTTATTTTTATGTATGAACATATTAATTTTTAAATATTATCTAAAATGGTTTAGCATAATTTTACATCTAAAATATAGTATAATCATTGCTTATACATTGTATCTTTCCAGTTGGTTTTCCAGGAGCATTGAACTGACCAGTTACATTTATATCTGGGAGAACTACAGGCTCATCAGTTTGCCTTGGGATTCTCCATGGACTTGGTATTTAACTTTCTTGGGAGTTGACTTTGGTTACTACTGGTTTCATCGTATGGCTCATGGTAAGTTGCAAACCAAGACTTTTTGATACTCAACTTATGTTGAACTGTGTTTGCCACATAGCTGGTATTCAGTAAATATTTATTGAACAAGTGACTAGATGAATAACTTAGTTTATTTTACAGCATCTAAAGATTAATAATGAAAGTTCATTTGTAATTTAAATGGAAACAATCTGAAGTCATTGTTGAAAAAAAGTGAAATTATAGAGGTACATTTTTCACACCCCTTGTATATAATTTATTTTTAAAACCATTTAGAAAGTGTTGACTATAGCATCACTTCACAACCCAATTATCAAGGGTCTTTCAGAAGAGCTTTGTAAAAGCATGGAATCCTAGGTAATCTGCTGTCGTATGTAAGCCTGATTCATGTTCTTGGCAGTATTGCCATATTTACAAATGAAAATGCAATCAGCTAGGCATTAGCCATAATGCACTTTAATGTGACCACAGCTTTGCAAAATTTCTCATCTGCTACAAAGCCTTCTTACGGTACTGGTTCACTGAACTTGCTTTTGGGGATTCTTGGCCACACCTTCCAAAGAAAGTTTTGTTATGGAATGGAAAATGGAAGAGCATGGAGCTGTCTAAATCTCTCGTGAGATAAGCAGAAATTGGAGAATGATTGTAGAGCTAAGATGAACAAGTGGTCTCTAAGGAGGAATTAGGCATGCAAAATATTGCTGAAGGGAAACGGAGGAAAGTGCTAATTTGGAAAAACTACTGAAGAGCAGAGCTCAGGATTTCAGTGGGTAGTTGGGTTGAGTGGGTGGGGAGGAAGGAAGGAAGAGGAAGAAACCTGGAATAATAATAAAAAATAGATGGGAGGTGGAAAGAAGAGCTCTGAGATCAGGGTGAATAACTGAGCTATGTGTGTAGGAGTATGTGTGACCAAATATCCTTCCCAAGCAAGGATGAAGGAAATAGGAGTAGCATGGACAGAGTTATGCTTAAGGCAGTTAAACTTTAAACATGGCATTATTTTGTTAAGCACTTTAAACATGTACATTTAATGAGACTATAAAAAGTGTTAATTCATTAAAAAATTTGTAGTGAACAGATAAACTAGAAAAAGTTATTTATTTTGTGTATGATGACCTTTGTCTTTGAAAATAATAGGTCAGCTCCTTACATCATTTCCTTATATATAAATGTAAGAGGATACTCCCAAATTGAACATGATTAAGAATAAAATAGGGTTGATGTGGTAAACTTGGTATTTTATTTCAAAATAGTAGTTTTCTCCCTAAAATAAACCCATTGGCAATTTTCCTCACTTTCTATGCAGCAAATGGGTAATGCAGAAAGCATTTACATTGTATTACTTAATTTCAGGAACCTTCTAATATCACACTGTCCTGTATAGATGTGTGTGTTTGGAAAATCTGCTAATTTGCTTAATATTTGAAAGCCCATTATAACAGGAAACAAAGAACCAACAGAATATTACCAAATATAAAACTTTTAAAAATATGTTGATTGTAAGTGCTCTCAGGGAATAGCAATAAAGTAAAATAATATATTAAAAACATGGAATCAAGGCTGTTTAAAGTATGCTTCCCATTAGAAAATTTTGAACCAAGTCCAGTAAAGGCAGGCATTAAAAAAATCTGAAAACCTTCTGGAAAAACACTCACCACTTTCAGGCTATGAAGCTTACTCATAAGTTCAAAGACTTTTGACTTGTGATGGAAAGCTAGTTGGAAAAAAATGATATTTCACTGCACAAATATATAACATAGTTACAGACTATATTCCCCACACTGTACATTTCATACCCATGTCTCATTTGTTTGAATCTGGAAGTTTGTACCTCTTAATCTCCTTCACCTACTTCTTTCCTCCCCACCACCCCCATCCCCTCACAACTACCTGTTTGTTCTCTGTATCTATAACTCTGTTTCTGTTTTGTTATATTTGTTTTGTTTTTTTAGATTTCACATATAAATGAAATAATACAGTATTTGCCTTTCTCTGTCTGACTTATTTCACTTAGCATAATACCCTCTAGGTCCATCCATATTGTCACAAATTGTAAGATTTCATTCTTTTTTATGGCTGAGTAATATTCCATTATGTATATATATATATATATATATATATATATATATATATATATATACCACCTCTTCTTTATCTATTCATCTATGATGGGTGTTTAAGTTTCTTCCATTTCTTGGCTATTGTAAATTATGTTGCAATGAACATAGGGATGCATATATCTTTTCTAAGTACTGTTTTTGTTTTCTTCGGCTAAGTACCCAGGTGTGGAATTGCTGGATTGTATGGTAGTTTTATTTTTAATTTTTTGAGGAATCTCCATGTTGTTTTCCATATTGGCTGTACCAATTTATGTTCCCGCCAACCGTGCACAAGGGTTCCTCTTTTTTCACATCTTAGACAACACTCCTTGTTTGCTGTATTTTTGATAATAGGCATTCTGACTGGTATGAGATGATGTCTCATTGTGGCTTTGATTTGCATTTTCGTACTGATTACTGATGTTGAACATCTTTTCATGTCCCTTTTGAACATCTCTATGTGTTCTCTGGAAAATGTTTATTACAATATTCTGCCAATTTTAAAATCAGGTAGCTTGTTTTTTTGATGTTGAGTTCTTTGTATATTTTGGATATTAACACCTTATCAAATATATCATTTGTAAATATCTTCTTCCATTCATTGGTGACCTTTTCATTTTGTTGATAGTTTCTTCTGCTGTGCAAAAGCTTTTTAGTTTGGTGTAGTCCCATTTATTTATTTTTGTTTTTGTTTCCCTTGACTGAGGAGACACATTCAAAAAAATTTTTTGCTAAGACTGATGTCAAAGACAGTATTGCCTATGTTTTCTAGATTTTTTATGGTTTCAGGTCTTACATTTAAGTCTTTAATGCATTTGGAATTTATTTTTGTGCATGGTGTGTGAGAGTAGTTCAGTTTGATTTTTCTGCTTATAGCTGTCCATTTTTCCTAGCACCATCTATTGAAAAGGCTATCTTTTCCCCATTGTATAATCTTGCCTCCTTTGTTGTAGACTAATTGCCCATATAACTGTGGGTTCATTTCTGGGATCTCTATTCTCTTCCGTTGATCTGTGTATCTCTTTTTGTGCCAGTACCATACTGTTTAGATGACTGTACCTTTGTAGTGTAGTTTGAAATCATGGTGTGTGATACCTCCAGCTTTGTTCTTCTTTCTTAATATTGTTTTGGCTGTTCAGAGTTTTTTGTGTTTCCATACAAGTTTGTCTCATTTGTGCCAAATATTTTTGCTCAAAAGGAGAATTTTAAAAAGTTTCTGTTACTAAAGGCATATGATGCATTAGCAAATAAGAGCTATGAGCAAAGGCATTTTAGACCACAAAAGGCCAAATCAAGTGGAATCTATCCTCTTTCACTTATTAAACAAGTGTAATTGTGACTGAATTTAGTGTCATAATATTAAAATCTACAATAAAAGAGACTAAGCATGGTGAAGTACTAGGAAAATACTCTAAGTGAAAATTCCAGCAAGAATCATTAACTAACTTAGAGACTTCTTTCTATGATTATTATCTTTTCATTCATGCATCTCCTCATTCATGCATTAACTTTTTCAACAAATGTTTAATGACCATCTATCTTATACGAACCCTATATTAGGCATCAGAGGTAGCTTGGATAATAACATATCTGAACACCAGTTGTTCATTTTATTATGGGTAAAAGACATTAACAATTAACTACAATAATGATAGGGGAAGTGCAAAGATGATTTTGGAGTGATTCTTAAAATTCACAAAAGAAACTTTGTCCTTCTCATTGGCATTAGTTCTTAAATTTCCAAACTTCTGAATATGCTGATTAACCTTTTTCAAAGTGGTTATATAAAAACCAAACGGAATTATGTTAAAAACTCATATTCCTTCAGACCCCAGGGAATATTCATTGGAGTGAGGTCTCACGGTGTTCCTCACCTCAGTACCAAGACCCAGCTCTACCCAATAGCCTACAAACCCCAGTGTTGGAAGCCTCAGGCCAAACAACCAGTAAGACAGGAACACAATCGCATTCATTAAAAAAAATAATAATAATAAGATGGCGAAAAAATATGTCACAGATGAAGGAGCAAGGTGAAAACCTACAAGACCAAATAAATGAAGAGGAAATAGGCAATCTACCTGAAAAAGAATTCAGAGTAATGATAGTGAAGATGATCCAGAATATCAGAAATAGAATGGAGGCATGGGTTAAGAAAATACAAGAAATGTTTAACAAAGATCTAGAACAACTAAAGAACAAACAAACAGAGATGAACAACCTAATAACTGAAATGAAAAATACACTAGAAGGAATCAATAACAGAATAACGGAGGCAGAAGAACAAATAAGTGAGCTGGAAGGCAAATGGGTGGAAATAACTGCCAAGGAACAGAATAAAGAAAAATAGACTGAAAAGAATTGAATACAGTCTCAAGAGACCTCTGGGACAACACTAAACACACCAACATTCGAATTATAGGGGTCCCAGAAGAAGAAGAGAAAAAGAAAGGGTCTGAGAAAATATTTGAAGAGATTATAGTTGAAAACTTCCCTAACATGGGAAAAGAAATGGTCACCCAAGTCTAGGAAGCTCAGAGAGTCCCATACAGGATAAACCCTAGGAAAAACACACCAAGACACATATTAATCAAACAAACAAAAATTAAATTCAAAGAAAAAATATTAAAAGCAGCAAGGGAAAAACAAAAAATAACATATAAAGGAATCCCCATAGGGTATAAGGCTGATTTTTCAGTGGAAACTCTGCAGGCCAGAAGGGAGTGGCAGGATATACTTAAAGTGATGAGAGAAAAACCTACAATCAAGATTACTCTACCCAGCAAGGATCTCATTCAAATTCGATGGAAAAGTCAAAAGCTTTTCAGAAAAGTAAAAGCTAAGAGAATTCAGCACCACCAAACCAGCTTTACAACAAATGCTAAAGAAACTTCCCTAAGCGGGAAACACAAGAGAAGAAAA